GGCTGGCGATGGCACGGGCCCCCAGCGCCTGCGCTGGGCAGGACGAGGGGTACGGGCTGTAGGAGCCCTGGAAAGGCCACACACCTCCTTGCCACGCTCCCAAGTCACGCCTGGCTTGAGCGGGATGCGGAGGGAGGGGTGTAGCTGGAGGAAGGATCTGCAGAGCTGCTCGACTCCAGCTGGGACCCCAGGGGCCATAGCCAGTCCTCTGGTGAGCCAAAAGCACCCATCCAGCTGCCTTGCTCTTCCTTTGGTAGCTGACACGCGCAAGATCTTCGCCATCGGCTGTCCCTGGTAAAGCTTCACGAACCCACAGCTCTCTTCCAAACTTCGCTCCTACGCCAGGAGGTCTCTAAGAAGGGCCTGACATGCTGGTTCAGCCATGGGTGTATGTTCTTTGTCTCTCAAAGTGCCCTGCAAAATCACTGGGTGTTCACATTCTACCTTTTAGAGCAACGGTAACGAGCAGCCATCCTGCAGACGGTCTCAGACTGACACAAATGATTCCTCATGCTCCGGCAGAGATGAAGCAGGGATAATTCGATGGAAAGACATGGAACGACTACACAGGGTGAGAGAAGACCCAGTCTGCAGTTTTAGGAGGACTCCCTCATTTCCAGTGCAGGAACAAAGGCCAAAATCCCTTCACTTTGTTTTAGCAAATGGGAAAACTGAAGCGCTACGCGGTGAAGAGAATTACCTGAGCTAAGATCAAATTAAAAGGAGACTGAGAGCGAGGGCATTTTAAGAGAGACTCCACAGCACAGCACAGCAGGATGCAACTCTCCATCTCCATACCATAAATATTTTGCATCTTTTTTTACGTCCTTCTCTTCAGCATCATAGAAGACTGTTGCTTTACTTCCATCAGCTGCAACATATTAAAAAAAAAAAAAACCTCTAATAAATCCAAGCCACTTTGTCCCCAAGCCACCTCACCAGGCAGCTCAGGTCGCTGCCAAATTCCCAGCACATCCCCAGCCCACCGGTCCCCTCCACTATCTGCGGTGCCCAGGGAGTTGCCGGTGGAGCTACGCCAGGAATCACCTTGGCCCCGGGAGGCTGTGAGCCCCGCGCTCCCCTTGTGACAGGATGAGTTATCAGCTGTTGGGGTTGCCACAGCAACCGTTTGAATTTTTTAGCACCAATGCTGGCTTTTGCCAGACTGGAAGGGGAGGCTGGGGAGCCTGATTAACATGTTGGCCTGCCCGGGAAACTAGCCCATTGCCTTTTTGTTTAATTGGCCTGGGGGACTGATGACAAGAAGGGGAAAGTGCTGGAAAGCCTCCGTCTCCACCAACGGCACGGGGTCTTCGGGGACCGTCCCCTCTCGTGTACATCCGGGCGTGATGGGCCATCACAGCCCGCAGGCGCGCAGGTGCCCAGGGGCTCTCTGTTGTCTCCTGGTAATTCAGCCTGAAGTTGCCTGGATGTAGTTGCTCGGCCCACGTGAAAGGGACTGTGCTGGGCGCTCGTTCCTGGCCTCACGCTTAGAAACGGAGCACCCAGATCCCAGCGGGAAAAGAGTGACTTGCAGGCAGGTTTCAGCTGGGGAGAACTCATTTCTATCTACACATAAGGCGTTTTTAGCAGGGACGGGTTCTTGGAGGATCAGCTCCTCCCTGGGCACCTAGAAATATGGAGAGAGACACTGACCTGGGGGTTTCTGGGGCGCCGTCACCACGGGGCGGTCGGTTCCCAGCTGCAGCGCCGGGTGTCTCAGCGACGCAACGCCGCGTGCTCGGGAGGGCGCCGCGTCGGGTGACAGCATCACAGGAGTTTCTGGAGGCCTTGGTCCCTCAGGGCAGAGGCAGGGGGTTAACGGCCCCTGGAATAAGCGGAGTGCTCGTTATTGGCGTATGCGCAAGCGTCTGGCAGCTCTGAGGCCTGCGACTGAACAGCAAAGCCTGAGATAAGCAAGTGGAGGCTGCTGCCGAGGGAGAATTAGATTTGTGCCCTTTGTTTTCCTCTGACGAGGAGGGATCTACAAGCTGTCATTTTCCTTTGGGTTTTTTTTTCCCCTCCAGAGGGTTTTTAACCTTAGAAATGCCTGTTTCAGCTGCCTGCTCCCCAGAAAACACCTTCCAGGCAAACTACAGGTGACCAGACCCAACGTCCCCGTATTTTAGGCCATTTTTAGAAGTGGGGGCGAACAAAAAACCTGCCCCTTCCCTGGGGTGACCGCAGCCGGACGCGGGCAGGCGCCTCCGGTTTAGGCCCACGCCGTGCCCACGGACG